ATCAGCGGTCTTATCACTCAGAACATATTCCTGCCTGCTGAGGGCCTATAGGAAGGGTGCATATGACCATGGTTCTCCTGGTGTGCCCTCTCCCTTTCCTCCTACGAGCCCTGCCCATTGCCTGTCCATTCCTTGGGGGCCCAGAGTCCATACTGCCCCACTAAGCAGGGGGATAGTTGGGCTATATGCCCCATCCTGCCTTCACTGGGGTTGTCCTTCCCTTACTATGACCCTGCTAGGAAATGGATCAGAATGGCACATCCATAATGGGTGATAAAAACTGAAATCCTGAGTGTTAGCGGACAGTGTGGAGGAAGGGCATTTGTAGCCAAAATAGCTATAATTCAGCAAGTCAATTAGAGCAGAGGAATTAGTTTCCTTCTTCATCTCTGCGACCCTAGGAGGGAAGAAAAGGCCTTGTTTGTGACTTGAAAATTTTGCTTGTGAATGAAGGTGGTCAGATTTAACAACAAAAACTACAGAACACCCAGATAGATTTGAATTTCAAATGAATAACTGATCACTTTTTAATACAAGTATGTTCTAAATATCGCACAGGATTTTAACAGATTAAAAAAAGTATTGGTTGTTTATCTGAAATCCAGATTCAATTGGGTGTTCCGTATTTGATCTGGCAAGCTCTAGCTTGGGATATACCTGCATGTTTGATAAAAAGAACTGGAATATGAAATTTCCAAACCAGTTGTTTGAAGTTATGTGACGAAGCCATCACCTGAATTCAGCTGTTAGTCTCTCACCAAGGGCTGAGCCAGCTGTGCAGCTGCAGAGTAGGATGCTTTGGGGTTAGAGAGCAGAAGTGCGCCTGTCCCAGTGCTCCTCATTGAGGCCCCATTTACATTTCTTCCATTCTATGACAGATGTGTCTCCTGTTTATTACAAAGTTCTGTGTCAACTCAGAAGAGAAAGCTGTGTTCAAGGTCTCAAATATGAAATCAAAAGGTGCAAGGGGAAAAGAAGGTGCAAGGATCCTTGAAAGGGAAAGAGACCAATGTTAAATGGTACTCGTGACGTGATATACTTTCAAAAAGCTTTATGGGGAGGTAGTCCCCAGAGTATTACAAACTGGAGAGTTTGGCTTGATTTACAAACATTTATGTAAAGTAAGAATAGGCCACTTGCAGAATACTAACATTATTGTCTTCAAAGAACTCATATATTGATGTTTATCTTTAAACTTGAATTGCCTATTTTGTCTACATAAATAAATCAAATGAACTAGGTAATTGCCAGATTGTTTTGTGTCTCTGACTAGCAAACTGATTGGCCCAAAAGACAGGGGTTCTGGCTTCCACTCTGCTACTTACAGATTTACCTTTCTTAGCCTATAGGTTCTTCATCTACTGAATCAAAGAATAATTTTGCCCTACATGCTTCATTAATTTTTTTTTAATTCTTAAAGGAAAAAAAAACTTCTCGATGTGCATACACATTTAGATTTCATCAATGTCCTATATGCTGTTTAAATGTGCTTCTTTTCCCAAATTTTGAATTTTCACCTATCAACAGCACACCTTAAATTTATCCTTGTTGGTTACTTTCATAGATGATATCATGTTCACATCTCAGAATTAACTTCTCCCTGATTGGGAGAATATTTATCATCTTTCTAGCTTTTTTCCACTGCAAAAAAAAAATGTTACACCATCATACAAATTGACTTTTTTTTCTTCTTCTGGTTGACTTCATTGTGACATGATTCTTGGAACAAGTTACTTAGGTTGTATCATTTATCAGGAGGGGTGGAGCCTATGGCCTCATCTGTGTACGTGGGGCCACTCCCACATTGTCGTTTGGTCTTTGATTTATCCTAATAGAAAGGCAGTGCTAGTTGTCTTAGTTGAAGTTTTCTGTCAGGATAGGCTAACCATTTTTCAATATCTTGTTTCATTAATTGTATGTTTCAACATATATGATTATTTCTCCATCTTTCTCTCATCTCAGGCTTCCCAAGTTATGGATGGTAGACTTTGTGTGTATATATTTTTTAATTTGTTTTTAGCTTTCCATTTCACTTCCTTTCATCTTAGTTTTGTTACTGTCCATCATATAGAATATTTTACTCTAGTATAATTGGACCCATCCTTGTCATTAATATTTTCTTCCACAGTTAAAATAGTCTATTTCATTTCCCTTTAAAGTTTTTATAGGAATTTTTACAATGTTTAACTTTATAACTCATCTGGAATTTATTGTGGCCTGTGAGAATCAAAAAGCATACTGAGAAAAGTAAAAGAGTTAAAATTTTTTAACACTAATGAGTCCAACAGCACTAATTTATAACAAGTCACTAACGAGTCCAACAGCACTAATTTATAACAAGTCACTTAACCTCTTCAGACTCCATGCCTTCTAGGGGCGCTTGGGTGGCTCAGTCGGTTGAGTGTCCAACTTTGGCTCAGGCCATGATCTCATGGTTTGTGGGTTCGAGCCCCACATCGGGCTCTGTGCTGACAGCCAGCTCAGAGCCGGGAGCTGTTTCAGATTCTGTGTCTCCCTCTCTCTGACCCTCCCCTGCTCGTGCTGTCTCTCTCTCTCTCTCTCAGAAATAAATAAAACATTTAAAAAAAAAAAAGACTAAAAAAAAAAAAAAAAAGACTCAATGCCCTCTGCTAGACTGAAGGCAGGGACCTTGTCTTAATTTTTCTTTGTTTTCTCCACAATATCCAGCAAAGTACCTTACATATAGGATAAACTTTATAAGGTCTATATTTAAGTTACATTTTTGTATATTACTATCAAATTATTCCAAAAGCATTTATTAAATAATGATTCATTTCCCAAGTATTTATTTGGTTGCTTATTATTTGTCACATATCAGTGATACTCAGATTTGTTCCAATGGCAAAACACTTGGAAGTTATGGCACTCTGTAAAACATTGTGAAACATGGAAATATTTAAGTTAAAATAATTAAAATGGAAATTTGATGCAAAATCAGACACCAGCTTACACTAGATTCTAGTATAGTATAGATGCCATCAGATTTTTTTTTTTAATTTATGGGAGAAATGCTAAAATTGAGAAAATTCTGCCCAATAACTTAATTCCTAAGCTCAAAAAATCAAGAAAAGAATTCCCACCCATGAAATAAATTCATCGAGAGCAAAAATTGAGAACCACATCTTATATTAAGCATCCCCAGTTGAGAATATAAATAAAAGCTTCTGATCAAATGTAAACATTATATGAAGTCCAGCTGAACTGGGCTGAACTCCAGATGAACTCAGAAACTATTTAAGATCAGTCTCTCGAGTTTTCAAGGTTGGAATTTCCATAATATTAGGAAGTCTAAGGGAGAATAGATGTCAGATCTCCAGTGCATGTTCACACCAGCAACTTTAATTCTATACACTTCTTTTCATTAATCTATAAATCAGAGGAGGTGAGACAGGGTACTTCGTGTCCTACCATATTACAGCATATGGACTTCACAAAGCAAGCAGGCAGTAGGTATGTTGGACGTGTCAGAAAGAACCCATATCAATTCTGGATTCCTTGTACTCTGAGGATGATGCCCGTCCAAGAGACTGGAGTCCTGCCCTCTACACATACTTCCTGAAGATGTGGACAGGGATATCTTTAATGGCTACTGGAACCCTCTGCAAGCAACATGGCACAACGGAGCTTACTTTTACTTAGATCTTAGCTTACAAAAAAGTTTCTTGTTAAGAAAGACAATATGCTATAGTTTTAAAAAGAATGCCAGACAGGAGGTAAGAGTCTAGGGTTGGGTCCTCACTCTCCCATTTCATCTGGGATGAGTCATTCAACATTTGTGGGCCTCAGTTTTCTTTTCCAAACAAACAAAAAAATATAGAAAATAGGCATTTAGAATAAATAGTTCCTAAAGCCTTGTATGGTTCTAATAGTCTTGGCCAATATAGATATATTCCAGTTCAAGAAAAGTAAAGGTGCAAAATTTCATACTTAGGAAACTGATAATTTGCTATTCATAATGGTCCTTGCTGAGTCATTCTTCAGTTAGAAAATTCCCCCAGAATTTCCCTAAATAGTAAGAACCTCTAGTGAAGTCAAACAGTGATTCCAAGTACAAATCCACAACCCTGTTTTAAGAATAGGATATACACTTGGTCCAGGAAAGTGATAACTCTTCTCTGGACTGTAACATTCATGAACAATATTCTGTGGCAGCTCTGGGGTGTGTGTGTGTGTGTGTGTGTGTGTGTGTGTGCGCGCGCGCACGCACACGCACGCAGGAAGTTAAAACTGCTAAATCCTGATTCAGATATAGTGCCAAAAGGACAGCAAATTCTGCAAAAATCATCTGCTTAGAAGGGAAATAAATCATGACTTCATTAGACACGTGGTTTCTTAATCTCCAATTCACTCTTGGTCCAGGGTTCTGAAATCAGGGTTAACACGGAGAGGCTGCTCTGTGAAATTATGCAATTATCTTTTCCCCTTCTCCTTTACGCTCTCTCCAGAGATTGCATGGATCAATGGTATTGTTCAAAGCATTTCAGTAAATACTAGCTCAAGCCATTTTCCCTCCGAAATGTATCCCACCAAAAGGTTTGCTTCTCATCTACCCAAGAGTGTGTGTGCTCCAGATGTCTTTGAACCCTCACTGTAGGATGTGGTGCAGACTATCCCGGATTGCCTTCATTGTCCTGAGTTATCCCACGAAGATAGTACTCTGTACTCTACAAAGGCTGACCACCAACCTCTACTTCCCAGGCATGGACGAACCATTTGCTTTCTGTCACTCTTGACTGCTGATTTAGGTAAGAGAGATGAAGGCAAAGTTACAGACAGTGGCCCTTGTTTACACGTATCAATTCCTATGTGTGTGTGTATGTGTTTTAGGATGACATTTCCGCCAATATCAGCAGAGCTCTAACATGCCCATTAAAATGAGACACAGTTTCCACTAAGTGCGTTTATGTGAAGAGCAGTTTTTACCTCATTTTCCCAATACCTCAGATGGTTTACAGTAAAGTTTTGCTGTCTCATTGCAGTTTCAGAAAATGGTCTTGTACAGAAGCAGCGAACACCTCACCGAAGATGTCAGCAGCCCAAAATGTTGAGTAGCCCTGAGGACACCATGTACTATAACCAGTTAAATGTGAGTTCAAAGTGGCCATAAAGCTGTTTCACTGGCTTTGTTTCCAGTTAATAATTCTGTTATTAATACCTGTTCCAGCCCCTCCAGCCCCACCCCCACTCTCTTATGCTCTCTTCTTGAACATGTGCTTAGGCTCTTTATCTGTTGCTTTCATGTCAGGATGTCTGCCTTCACGGTGAATAATTGATGTGGTTTATCAAAGACGAGCAAGATGCATGCTTCATCAGGCTCACTTGAGCCCTTTGATCAAAAAAATTATGCTGTGACTTCTGATATTATCAGCATCTGCTTGCATTCAACACAAAATCACTTTGAATTAAAAATTAACGACTTGCTGCTTTGCTTTGACTGTGTGTTCTTGGCCCTCTCCACAGGGAACTCTAGAATATCAAGGGAGCAAAAGGAAGCCAAGAAAACTTGGGTAAATATCTGTCTTCTTAGTTCTAAGCAACTGTAAACAGAAGGGGTCCTTTGTGATATTACAGAAAGTGCAAAACTTTCCAGAGGAGCTTCTAAAAATATGCAAATAGGGATATCACCACTATTATTGACACTGGAAACTACTTTTCACAGTAGCAACTATATAAAACTTGAGTCTATTCTGTCCAAAAAGGCTGAAATTGCCACCTAAAGGCAAATGTTATTTCTCATAATTATCCCAGGAAACTGTAGTTTCTTCATACTTGCCGACATAGCAGATTGTATAAAACTCTCCCACAAATAAGAGCATTCCACGCAGTGCAAACAGGCCACTTCCCACATCACACTACCCCTGGGCCTTAAAGATACACAAAGAAAAATTTCTCCCTGTGGCTAGACACAGGACATTAAGGAGTTTGTGGCTTATTTGATTGTTGTATCTTGACTGAGAATACAGTGACATAGCTAACTGGTACTAATTTGAGAACTGGAGGGGGGCAGGAGGGGAACTTTCTCATCTTGGAACCAAACAGGGACAGACAAGTTAATTCAGACAGAAAAGCTGTAATATGATCACAACCTCCAGACACCACTAAATTTGGCCCTTTATCAGTCTGTGACCCAAAGGCAAAAGGCTTTGTGGATCAGAGTTAGTTCCTGAGTTCTGAGAAACGCTGAGCTACCCTAAGTTGTCCTTCCCTTCCAGGGGTGGGACCCAACCCCGTTCCCAGTACTCATGCAATGTTAGCTGCCTGGGTGATGACTGCAGCATTTGTTTTCTCTTTTTGCTGAAAACTCTTCTTTTTGTTGCAGCCAAATCAAAGTGCTTGATGGTGAAGACCAGTATTACAAATCTCTGTCACCTGTTGACTCCGTTCCTGAGGAAGAGAACCCATCCTGCCCTTTCTTTAATTCCTCATCCTCAAAAGGAGCATCTTTTGCTCAGCACTGAGCTGTACTTCCTGCCCCCCAAGTCTGCCGAGGGTAAGAACATGATGGTGGTTGACTGATTGTCATTTAATAGGAAAGCACTGCAATGGGGTCAGCTTCTTTGGACACATAGGCCGTGTCTGTCTGAGCCTTAGTGAACAATTTTCATATTCCCAACCATTTTCTCATACCTCCATTGCCCTCCCCACGTCTGCAGTGCAGCCTGAACTGGGCAGTTTTTCCTTTTCTCATGCCAGGGGGAGCTGTGGGACACTGAGCACACCTTCCCTATAGCAGTAACCATCATTCATGCCCTCAGTGTCTAAGAGGGTAACAGACAATCTCAGCATTAGCCAATCATGAATGCTGACGTTTATTTTTCCTGTCATGTCAGTCCATGCAAAATCTGCCCCTCTGAAAATCCATGACTCCCTTTCCACCCTCACCTCTCCCTGGCATCCACCTCCTTCCTTTGAGAGAACCCTCCAGACATCTTTGAGAGTCAGGGTTCCACTGCTGAGTGTCCCCATCCTAAAGGAGTGCACTCAAGGTCTCCTAGGCCAGGTTAATTTTTTTGTGTTTAGGGGGTAAGCCTAAATCTTTCTATAAGGCAGATGAACCCCTCTCTTGTTAGTTATTATGCTCATAAAGCCTTTGCCTCTTTACTCCCATCACCTTAGCAATAAAAAGAAAGGAGTTAGAGGGACAGAAAATGTAGACCTGCCGTAGTCCTTGTCCTGTGGTTTAGTAACTTCCCAGTCTCTGGTTGACCGCCTCCACTAGACTGTGAGTGGTTATAGAGGAAGGATCTTGTCTATCTCCGTGGGCACAGAGCCTAGAGCAGTGCCTGGCACAGAGTGCACATCCTGTAATGCCCTTAAATGAATGGAGGGACTTCACTTAGTTGTACTAACATATCTGACAGGAAACCATCTTTCAATTCTATTGTTACACATAATTAATCACTTTTCTTACACCATAAACTCTGATTTTTTCACTCCGGTTTGGGCTAGTCCTATTATAATAATGTTATACCATATATTATAATACTCAATATGATTCAATACAGCAAACATCTTTGCAGCAACTCCTCAATGCAAAACAATGTGTAAGATTGCTGTGTAAGGTAAAAAACCTACAAGACCTTTTCTCTAGAACAGATGTTCTCAACATTTTTTTTACTTTAAAATACTTGGCAAATAGTACAATGGGAGTACCCAGATTTTTAGAAAAATTAACTGGAGAAAATTGAGAAAAATTGTTATCAGAGTTATAAAAAGGAGAATTTTAATACCCACATTTTACAAAGATAAAATAATGAAATATGAGGTATTTAAAGATCTCAGAAAAGTTTTTTATAAGGAAAAAAATAGGAAAAGTTAAATAGTTAAACTTTACTTTTTAAAAATATGAGTCTTGATTTTTCAGATGTTCACCCCAAAGAAAGGTTTATAAGGTATGCAGGCAGAGCAGAAGAAACACAAGTGAACGTTATTGTTTTAAAAATATCTAGAATATGGGATGCCTAGGTGGCTCAGTCAGTTAAGTGTCTGACTTCGGCTCAGGTCATGATCTTGTGGTTTGTGAGTTCGAGCCCCTATTGGGCTCTGCGCTGACAGCTCAGAGCCTGAAACCTGTTTTGGATTCTGTCTCCCTCAATCTCTGCCCCTCTCCCACTCACATGCTCTCTCTCTCTCAAAAATGAATAAACATTAAAAAAATTCTGTAATGTCTAGAATATATAGATTTTTAACATTATTTTAATATAAATATTTTTGTTTTAAAGTATAGTATAGGTACACAATATAGTGATTCAGCAGTTCTGTGCCTCATGCAATGCTCACCACTATAAATATAGTTACCATCTGTCACCATACAACGTTGTTGTTGACTAAATTTCCTGTACTGTACTTTTCATCTCTGGTGATTTATTATTTAAAACTGGAAGTTTGTTATCTCTTAATCCCCTTCACCTATTTCACCCACCTCCCCACCCTTCTCCCCTCTGGCAACTATCAGTTTTTTTCCTGTATCAATAAATCTGTTTCTGGTTTTTGTTTGTATGTCTATTTGTTCATTTGTTCATCTGTTTTCTTTCTTAGGTTCCACATGTAAGTGAAATCATACAGTATCTATCTTTCTCTGACTTATTTCACATAGCATAATATCCCTCCAGGTCTATCCATGTTATCACAAATAGCAAGATCTCATTCTTTGTTATGGCTGAGTAATATTCTGTTGTATGTGTATGTATATACATCCATTCATCTATCAATGACCACTTAGGTTGCTTTCGTATCTTAGCTATTGTAAATAATGCTGTAATAAACATAGGAGTGCCTAAATCTTTTTAAATTAGGAGTGCCTAAATCTTTTTAAATTAGTGTTTTTGTTTTCTTCAGGTAAATACCCAGTAGTGGAATTACTGGATCATATGGTATTTCTATTTTTAATTTTAAGGAAACTCCATACTTTTTTCTACAGTGTTTGCACCATTTTCTATTCCCAGCAACAGCGCATGAGGGTTCCCTTTGCTCCTCACCCTTGCCAAAACTTGCTATTCTCTTTTTTTTAATGTTTATTTATTTTGTGATAGAGAATGAACATATACCTGTGAGCAGAAGAGGGTCAGAGAGAGAGGGAGAGAGAGAATCCCAAGCAGGATCCACGCTGTCAGCACAGCCTGACTTAGGGCTCCATCTCCTTAACCATGAGATCATGACCTGAGCCAAAACAAAAAGACACTCAACTGACTGAGCCACCGAGGCACCCCAACACTTGCTATTTCTTGTCACACCATTCTGACTGGTGTGAGGTCGCATATCTTTTTCTGGAAATTTTATTTTTATCATTGACTTATCTACCTTTGATTTGATAATATTCACTATTTTTCAAACTGTTGAGCAGAAAGTTTTCTAACTTCCCATTTCTCTGTGTACAATGTAATTGTATACCTGCCTTGTTTCTAATTAAATATTTCTATAAATAAGTTTAAAGGAAACAGCAATAATTATAAAATTATAATTTAGAAGCTCTTTAATAATTAGTCATTGCCACAGCTATAACTCCTAACATTACTTTAGAAATGGGCTTCACAGGGCTCCTGGGAAGCTCAGTTGGTTAAGAATCCAGCTCTTGATTTCAGCTCAAGTCATGATCTCTCAGTTCACAGGATCGAGCCCCACGTCAGACTCTGTGCTCACAAGTGTGGAGCCTACTTGGGATTCTCTCCTTCTCTTTCTGCTCATCTGCTGCTCGCTCTCTCTCTCAAAATAAATAAACTTAAAAAAAAAAAGAAAGAAATGGTGTTTGCTGTCAACAACACCATCTACAGATTGTTGATGTTATTCTTGGACTGGTTAGTCATAATGCCACAAACTCAAGAGGCAATTCTTAAATCAAGTATTTGAGAAGGAAGCAACCTGGAATCTCACAAATGTCTTACTAGATTTTTCAGAGTAATATGCCCATGACAAAAACAAGACAAAAATCACATAGTCCAGAGGGTTGATATTGGAAAGCAACTGTCTTCTCCCTGTCGCTACCTTGTCCCACCCCCAGAAGCAACCACTTTTTACTATTTCTAATTCTTTTAATGATTTCTGTCATGTCTATGAATGTTTTGCTTCTATCTTCTTGGTTTATCATTTTCAATAATATTTACTCTCCCCTTCTATAAAATGTGCATTTATTTCAGCTTTCTCTCCCCTCTCTCTCAACCTCTTCCAGTGCTTATAATTTTATATTTAAATTTTTGTTGATTACCTTTTAAACTTTAAATCATACAATTAAACACCTATTTTTGTGTTTCATTGACTTTAGATAGTATCTCTGCAAGGATACCTGACATGAAGAAAACCAACAGGCTGAAGGATATTGTCAAGACAAACAAAATAACTGACCCTGGACAAGATAGGAATCATTCTGGGAATAGAACAGTTTCACTTCACTGCAGACCTTTGGTGTTCATGCTCTGAACTGCTGTTTTTTCTTAGATTTTGGTCCATCTGAAGATATGCCTCCATCCACTTCCTTTAACTTTATTTATGGTTAAATGTCATACAAACAGAAAAGAGCACAAATCAGAAGACTCCATTCAGCCAGTTATCAGAAAGTGAATATCTATGTAAACATGCAGTGAACCATTGTCAGCACACTGGAAGTCTCCCTCTTGTCCCTTCCCAATCACTACCTTCCCAAAGACAAGCACTCTCATGACTCTGGTGGTAAACACCTCCTTGATTTTCTTTCAAATTTTACCACTTACGTGCATCCCTAAACTCTAGTTAAATTTTGCCTCTTCTGGTTAGGTTTTGGGGACTTTACTTAGATGGAATCATGTATAGGTAATCTTTCGGGTCTTGTTTCTTGTTTCTTTTATTTAGTGTTATATTTCTGAGTTTCATCTATGTCATGTAATAGAAATGTGGTTCATTCCTTTTCATGACTGTGTAGCATTCCAGTTTGTGAATATGGCATAACTGACTTAGCCATTCTGCTTTTGATAGACAAATATGAATTCTTCTCTGTGTGGGGCTATTTTGGACATTGCTACTATGAACATTGTTCCAGGTCTCTTAGTGTACACCTGCATGCCTTTCTGTTGGCTATGCACTTAGGACTGAGATTGCAGTGTTCTAAAGTACACATAATACCACACTTTTCCTAAGCAATTTTACCAATTTACAGTCACATCTGTGACATAAGAGAACTTCTAGTTTTGCTATTATCAGTCTTCTTTATATAGGCACCCTATATATTAGAACCTCACTGTTGATTTATAGCTAGTGCCCATTTTTAATTGGGTTAACTATAGTTTTTCTTTTAATGTGAAGAAATGTATATTGTTAATTATATGTGTCGCAAGTATTTTTTCCACTAGATAGCTTGTCCTTGCATTGCCTTAAAATATCTTTTGATGAAAAATGTCTGTAATTTTAACATAGTACAGTTTATCAATCTTTTCCTTGATTAGTACTTTTTAAAAGCCTGATAAGAAATCTTGTCCAGCGCCAAGGCCATAGATATTTACTTTTATGATCTTCTGCAGGCATTATTTCTTGCCTTTCACGTGTAGATCTTATACCCAGCCAGAACTGATTTTGTGTGAATGGTGTGCAGTAAGGGCCAATTTTCATATTTTCTCATAATGTATAGTCAACTCTTGTAACCCATTTAGTGAAAAGCCCATCTTTTGCCTACTGTTCTAATATGCTACAATTTGCATAAGTCAAGTAACCATGGGTCTGTTTTCAGATTCTCTGTTCTGTTGATCTGATATCCTTGTCTGAAATACTGTACCTTTATAATAGGCCTTGGTATGTGACAGAGCAAGTCTTCTAACATGGTTTTTCTTCTCCAGGAGACCTTTGATTAGTCTGGGATCTTTGCATATTGTAGATTCAAATAGTCAATTCTTGGGGGAAAAACTGTTCATATTCCTTTGGAATCATCTTGAGTCTGTAAGTTAATTTGGAAGGAATGGTCGTGTCTACAATATTGAATTTTCAGAACTATAAACATGATATATCTTTCTATTTATTTAGTTATTCCTTCTCTTCTCTCAATAATGATTTATGGTTTTATGTGAAAAACCTTATAGTTTGTTAGTTTTATCCCTATATACTATATATAATTTGATATTATTTAAAACTTTTTAATTTTTATTTATTAACTATTTGTTGCCTATTCTAGACTAAAAGTTTATGTCCCCCCAAATTCATATGCTTAAATCTAATTTGCATATGATTGATGGGACCTTGGGGAGGTGACTAAGGCATAAGTCCTTATGAATGGGATCAGTGCCCTTTTAAAAAGACCCCAAAGACCTTGCTTTGCCTCTTCTACCCCCGGAGGACACAATGAAAAGATGGCTATTAACCAGCAAGCAGGCCCTCACCAGATACCAAATCTCCTGGCACCTTGATCTTGGACTTCCCAGACCTCCAGAATTATGAAGGAGAAATTTCTGTTGTTTGAGTCATCTGTGGAAGTCTGTTATAGCAGCCTGAATAGACTAAGACATTGCCATTATCTGAAAATACAGTTGATATTTTGGTTTTGAGATGCATCAACTTTACTAAGTCATTAATTCCAATAATATATCTGTAGATATTTTTGGATTTTTTGCATACACAATTATGTCCTCTATAAACTACACTTTCTTCCTTTTTCATACTTGATTTTATTCTTTATTTTTTCTTGACTTACTGTCTGTTGTATAATGGTTTTGCTACATTATAAACCACCCCAAAGTAAGCACATATTTCTTACAAGTCTGTGGGTTGGCTGAGTATTTCTGCTGATTTGAGCTCATCTTGCCAGTACCTATTTGTGTATCTGCACTTACCTGCAGGTCAACTAACCACTTTTGCTCATGTTGGCTGGGTTTCTCACATATCTAGGGCTACAGAAGGAACAGCTGGGCCAACTTAGTTCTATTCAACATGGTCTCATCCTCTAATTTGTTATTATCCCCAATGGCAGTGCCAGAGTTTCTGTAAAAGGCGAGGGAGGGGGGTGCTCTTGAGGCTCAGAACTGGTACATTGTCAATTTCACCATATTCTTTTAAGGGAAGCAAAATGCAAGACCAGCCCACATTCAAGATGGGCTTCAGTATCCTGTTACATTGCAAAGGGTGTGGATACAAGGAAGAATAAAGAATAGGAGTTATTTTTGTTTTAATCAAAATGTCACAGTGACCTTGCTAAGATTTCCCATACAAGGTTGGTTAGGATGGCTAATAGTAGGCACTCTTGTCTTTTCTTTGTAGCCTCAAAGAGGAAAGCTTTCAGTGTTTTATCATTAATTAAAATATTGCTGTTCCCTCCTGTTCTCTAGAGGGGTTTTTCCCTTATAAGTGGATTTTTTATTTTTATCACATGCTTATTTTTTGTACATTTAAATAATTCTGATTTCACTCCTTTTTTTGTCAACATAGTAAGTTACACTGATTTTCTAATGTAAAACCAGCCTTGCATCCTTTCAATACATACAACTCTATCATGTTGTATTATCCTTTTACATTTTGCTACAGTTGATTTATTAATTTTTTAAAAATTCATATCTGTGCCCAGAATGAAATTAACATGTAAATTCTTAATCCTCATACTATCCCTACTTGCATTTCTATGGAAGGGTTTGTGTAAGAATGATATAGATTCTTTCTTAAAATTGTTTTAATTCACTACAGGAGCTATTTGTGCCTGCAGTTTTTATGTGGGAAAGTTTTAATCATGATTAAATTTCTTTAATAATTTATGATTATTCATATCTTCTGTTTCTTCCTGTGTCAGTTTTGTTAGGTTTTAGTTTCCTAGAAATTTGTCTCTTTTTTCTACATCTTCAAGTTTGGTTAGAATTGTTCAAAATATATCTTAAGATATTTTTAGTATTATAGAATTTGTAGTAAGATCCCCTTTTTCATTTGCAATAGTGACAATTTGTGTTTTCTTTTTCTTTGACTATTCTTGCTAGGTCTGTCAGTTAGTGTTTTAAAGGAAACAACCTTTGATTTTGTTCATTTTTTTTCATTATATATTTGTTTCCCACTTTACTAACTTCTGGTCTTAGGCATATTGTGTTTTTTCTTTGATAAAATTGGCTGTTATTTTTTTCCAATCTCTTCAGATCTTAAGCCTTGTTTTCTAATATATTTATTTAAGCTATAATTTTCCCTCGAAGTATGGAATTAGTAGTAAATGAAAGTGTTTTTACTATCATTCAGTTACGATTTCTTTTTTGCTCATGATATTTTCAGAAGTTTATTAATTTCTAAACATACAGGGATTATCTCCTATATTTTTGTTGTTGAGTTCTATCTTAATTGTTCTTATGGCCAGAGAACAAATTCAGTATCATTTCAATGACTTTGGTATTTATTGATACCTATGACTTAGCATATGATTTTCTTGATAAAACTTTATTAATAAATATTCCCTATAATCTTAGAAATAAGGTGTATTCTGCAGTCTTCTGTATATGCACAGTAGGTCCAATTTGTTAATTGTCCTCTTTTCCATGCTTACTGAATTTTTTTTTACTGCTGTTTCTATCAAGTAAGAGAAGTATGTAAAAATCTCCCACTGTGATTATGTATTTGTCTATTTCTCCTTTTAGTTTTGGCAGTTTTTTCTCTATGTAATTTAAGCCTATATCACTAAGTACATATTTTACCACTAAGTACATATGATAAAAGTACACTTTTATCATTCTTTGGCTTGTATCAATTTTGGCTACAATATGTCTTCTTTGACTTAACCAAAATCTAATATTACTCAATACTTTTACCCTATTCTTGAACAATTCAAGAATTCAAAGACCTTAAAATGCTAACAATATCTCTATCTATATTATACATTCCTCCTTGATTATATTGCTTCTATTGTAGTATATTTCTAACTAGGCTCTATGCCCAACATTGGGCTTAAACTCATGACCCCAAGATCAAGAGTCACACACTGTACTGAATAAGCCAACCAGGTGTCCCTATTGTGGTGTACTTTAATTTCATATATATTTTAATCCCACAAGACATTGTTATTGTTTTCATAGGTCTTCATTTCTTCCCACATCTCAGACCTTTATTCTGAGATCCATTCCCTTCTGCCTTAAGGGCACTTAGTGTGTCCTTACTATGAATTTGCTACTATAACTTTTTGTACAACTAAAAATGTCTTAATTCTTAAGGAATTAGGAATCTTAATTCTTGAAGGATTATTTTTAATGAGTGCAGAATTATATATTTCCAGTTATTTTTTCTTAGAACTCTAAAGATAGCACTTCATTATCTTCTGGTTCTCATTGCCTCTGTTAAAAAAACAACTATAATTCAAATTGTTCTTCCTATGAAGGTAAATTATCTTCTTCCCTTATTGCTTTTAAGGTTTTCTCTTTATTTGGTTTCTAGCAGTTTTCACTG